GGGAAGAGCATGTATAGGAAGTACAGAGAGGTCAGAAAGCACTGAAAGAAGTTTATCAGTGCTCGCTGGAGCACTGTTGGTGTGGCTGAAGCTCCTGTTCACTGTTAGATGTGTGGCTTTGCAAGCTCTCTTCTCCTTGTCAAACCCAGAACCTCCGCACAGAGTGAGGAGGGGTGAGGAACTCGGGCTGTTTGCGACAACCCTGAGCTGGAGTCGCGACACTGAGACCCTGAAGCAGACGCTTCACAGCTGCTCGACCTGACAGTTCCCCAGCGTGCGTGGGAGCAGAAACCAAGTCCTGAGTTCTGCCTCCTTCCCCTGGCGAGGGCGTCCAAAGCACAAAGCTGTGCAAAGGGACAACTTGGAGGGTTACCTCCTGTCTGCAGAGGGGCAGCTGGGGCAGGGAGACCCAAAAGGTCCCACCAGGAGTGATTCACCTCTCCATTGGCTCTGCCTGTGGCTCCGCTGGCATCTATATTGCAGCCTGCTTGCACGTAACCCCTCCAGGACCACACGTGGGACCTGGGTGGTGGAGTCAAGGTCCCCAAAATACACCTCATGCAAAACTCATCCCAGCCCAGCTGCACCATGGCTGGCACCAGCTTTGATTGCACTGCAGGACAGGGTGGCCATTTGGGTGCCCCATCCCTTCCACATCCCCAGCACATCAAAAGGTGATCACAGACCTCGGTCAGCAGGGACGGCGGTTGCTCTAAGGGGTACACCCAGCCACTGCTGCATTCCTCTGTGGCGTTCAGGCCGTATGCCATGATGGAGTCAAGGTCCCAGTCCACCGGTGAGTACATGGAGCACTGCTCGTACACCCCGTCCGCGTCCCGGGGCAGGGTGAGGTTCAGCTGCTCTTCCTCCGTCAGGTTGGGGCCGACGGCGCGGATCCAGCCGGTATCGCAGTGGTGGGGCACGTGTGGAACCATGAAAAGTTGGCAGAACTGGTGGAAAGCCACACTGAGGCACGGAAACAAAGTGAACAGCACCAGCCATTTCTGAAACGGCCCAAAATCACCAAGCACTTTCAAAATTTCCCCAACGCCTGACATTGGCAGCTGCGTCTGGAACAGGACAGTGCTGGGACAGACTTCCCAGAGGGCTGGAATTAATGTTTAAACCTAAGATAAGCTCTGCAATCATAGACAGCCACCAGAAACATGTAAAGTCAGGATAGACTTAATGCCTGATGTTTTACATGTCCTAAGTACATCATGTAATATATTAATCATCTCTGTGCCACCCACGAACACACGGCACTGGCTGGAGCAGCAGGACCCCTGTTTCATATAACCTGGGTCACCCCCTCTGCCAGGGCCGGGTGGCATTGACAGGGGAAAAGATTCTTCTCCAAAGCAACTGCAAGTGCTGCGTTTGCTGAACCACTGAGGAGGTCCCCGGTGGTTCCACTCGGGAAAGCAAGGTTCAGAGGGGCCAAAACAGCCCAGCGTGATGCAGAGCTGGGTAAAGTCCAGGGGGGATAAAGGGAGTGATGATAATGGATGGGCAGAGCTGCAGACAAAGAAGGGCGGCCAGTCGGCTGGCCAGGCAACATGAGACTCCTTTTCCTTCATCTTTTGCAGCTTCCCTGCACAACCACGAGCAAGCCCTGCATGGGATGTCCACCTTTCCCACCAGTTCTGGGCCACCCAGCAGGCTGGTGGGGGCTATTTGCAGGGAATACTTGGGGAAGGCATACAGGGATGGAAGATATCTGACAAAGGGCGATGCTGCTTGAGGCAGGTTTGGCAAATCCCAGCTCAAATGTCTTCCTGCCTTAAAATGACCATTGAGAACACGAAACCAATTCTGTTTGGCTGATCCTTGCTGTAGGAACAGCATCTGCCTGAGGCTTGTCCATGAGGCAGAGCATCCAGAAGTGCCCAAAAGCAACTTGAATCCTCCTTCTCCTGCCCACAGATCTGTGGGAAAAGCATTGTATAAGCGTGATGAAAACCAGACCATGGCTGCCCTGCTTGGGTTGTCCAAGGCACCTGCACAGGTTAAGCTTGGAGGTATACCAGCTCCCTTGGCAGCCAGAGGAGAGATGTTGCCCCCGGGATAAGCCCAGCTTAGCAGCCACGAGCAGGGAGCACCGAAGACAGACAAAAGCAGGCAAACACTGAACCAGGCTGTGGTGCTGGACGACTCGAACTAGGTCTGTTCAAGTCAACTAGGAGACGGAGGATGAAAGAGGTGCCTCTGTTCGCCATGGGCTCTGCTTCATCAGCAGGAGACGGGATGCTAAAAGCAGAATCACGTTTGTCCACGAGCTCAGGAGCCTTTCCCAGGGATGACCCTGCCATCTCCCTTGGCTGTCTCCTGGCTCCATGCTAGAAGGACCCCAGAGCAGCCTCATCCGCTTGTCTCTGTCATGATTTAAACAGGGAAGACCGTGAGGGTCAGTCAGATACCAGTCAAGGCTCTCCTGGATCTGCACAAGCAGGAGCCAGAGGACTCATGGTCTGAGGGGTACGCCCAGACACTGCTGCACTTCTCCGTGGCGTTCAGGCCACACACCATGATGGAGCCGAGGTCCTGGTCCACCAGTGAGTGCATGGAGCACTGCTCATTTCTGAAATGGCCCAAAATCACCAACTGCTTTCAAAATTTCCCCGGCACCCAACATTGGCAGCAGTTATCTGCAGAGATAGGCTTCCCCGGGGATGGAACCGGTTCTTAATCCCAAGACAAGTCCTGCAGCTCTAGGCAGTCATGAGCACGCGCATTTGAAGAAAAAGCAACGCTCTGCGCCGGGGTTTGTACTCGCGCTGCATTCCCCTCAAGTGAAACAGAAATTTCGGAAGGATGCACGCTGTCCAGGGGAGGTTACTTTCCATTTGGAAATTCATCAGCTGGGAGGAGAGACTTTGAGAAGGTGATCGGGACGCGGTAAGAAGAGCAGGGAAGCCCAGAGGCATGGGGAGTATCTGGGTGGGGAGCACCCACACAGGGAAACACGCAAGGATGAAGGTGACTGGGGTGGACTATTCAGTCACAGGAGGACTAAGGCACTGGACTGAGGTGGCATGGAAAGCCTTCTGCAATGTCTATAAAAGGATTTCCTACAAAGGCAGGGATGGGAGACAAAACTGGGGTATAATTCACTGGGGCTTTTTAAGTGGGGTTTGGTCAAATACTGAAAAGACTGCAAAAAAGTTGGCTTAGATGTAGGGGATGAGATTCAGTGACCCAGAACATCCTTTACCATGCCATGTCTTAAACTTGGAAGTTACATTCACCCAAGATAAAGTTTTCTGGGTCTGCAAGCGAAGCGGAACACCTTAAAGATAAACAAAGAGCCAGAAAATGGCAAACTAAGCCCAAGAGCCTTAGAAAGGGGAGTGAATGGAAAAGGCAGCTTAGAAAGTGCCACCATCCAAGACCACCACTTTTTTGTTGTTGTTTTAGTGGGTTTTTTTGTTTGTTTTTAAGCAAGAACATGGATATTTTTAAGCAAACACAGATGGGTACACCCCAGCCAAACGGCCTGGGGAATATGGCTGAAACTGGACCACCTCTATCCCCTCCCAAAAGACACACACTTTGCCCTTGACAGTCCCTGAAGCTTTAGAGAAACTTCTCTGTTCCCCCACTCTGAGCAGGAAGACCCCTTCTGCTTCTGTTAACGGAGACACCACGACCTCGCTCAAACAAAACCCCTCTAAGCTCTGGGTAAATCGTGTCAAGAAAGCTGTCAGAGCAGAGCACCTTGGGAACAGAAGCCATACATTAAGGTAGTCTCCAAAACAACCTCCCATGAGAAAGACTAAGGCTTCTTTACTTCTCAGGCAACGCTTCCCTTCATTTCAGAAAACTTCCTTCCTTCGTGGAAGATGGGCAAGAAATATTGAAGGATGTGAAGAGAAACTCTAGAGTTTCTCCAGTGCAGTGTTTCAGAGAATCAACTTTCCAAGTGGGAGCCAGGCAGTCTGCTTGCAACCAGACACATCTCTTTTGCCTGACATTAGATGGTACGAAAAGGTTGTGGCCAAGGTTGCTGTTAAAGGATGACGATGACTGGGGAAAGCTGTCCAGATGCCCGCTCAATTTAACTGACACGGAATTGCAGCACTCACCGTGACAAATCTACTGCCACAACCATGGCAGTGGCCCAGTGCCAGGTCACAGAAGTGTCCTCAATCTCGTGGCAAGAGGTTTACTGACAGTCTGCCAACAGTCTCATCACCTGCACACTTGGACAAGCCCTTTCACTTCAGGAACCTCCTCGCTCTCGCAGCCCATGACTGCTGGCACATGAATATGCTGGAACAAGGGATACTGGTGCTTACAGAGAGGAACAGCCCCACTCCAGCTAAGAGCTGTAAGGGTGACAAGAGACAGGGATGTGCCTGGGCTCTACCTCTCACCATCAGCATGCTTTCTTGAAGTCCTGGCTCCATTACAAATGTAAGGCAGAGACCCCTGGGCCAGATCTGCCCCAAAGCTTCACATTCAGAAAGAGCAAATATTGTGGAGGCGGAGAGGAGGGAGTGCAGTTCATGCTCCAAACGCTTTTCAGGGTACAAACCATCCTGTTTTAGTACCAGCCTTTGTCACCCTGAGGTGCTCCTGGGCAGGGGAAAGCTCATCTCCAGCTGCACAGGGCATGCAGAGCTTGGAGCAAACCTCTCAACCGGAGACATGCCCTCCGGGTACAATCCTAAGAGCCACCCTGGCTCCTGCAGAGCATCCCCATCCCTTCCCCACAGAGTCTTCCCGGGGAGTTGTCAAACCTCCCACCGCCCCAAACAGAAATGCCCCAGGGGATGCAGAAACCCCTCGGAAAAACCCCTTCCCCAAGACACACCATCTAACACAATGACACACAAACCACACAAACACATGGCAATGGACAATTTGTTCTTTATTGATTAAAAATTAGAGACATGCAGTAAAATACAAAGTCCAAAAAAGGAAAAAAAGCCTGAATATTTTACATCTTTCATTATAATCTACAATACACCAAAGTTGTGAAGAGGATCCGTTTTCATTAACAGAGTGTTGTCCTTAAAAGTAGGAACTAACTTAAAATTACCACCTGCTTCCAGGTTCAGATCAGAAATTTGCACAAAAACCAAATTCTTAATGACACTGGAAAACAATTATGAACAGCATTGGCACTTACTGGAACAACATCAGAAAAGACAGTTGTCTAAAACTGTAATAGCCCAAGTAAATATTCTGGATCCCTACCCAAAACGCGTGGAGCTCTACAGAACAAAAAAACATCAGTTTCTTCCTTAATTATTTTCTTCATTAAAGAACTAGGGAGCTTCGGGTTAGTGTGAGCTCAAGCTCTCTAAGTCCTGGCTTTGGGAAGGTGGGGAATAACTTAATAAATAGATACTGCATTGTTCCATTTGAGCAGTTCGAGTCTTAACTTCTCAGCACCAGTACACAAATGAATGAGGTCCCCATGGCATGCAGGCAGAAGGGAAAATAATACTGTGCCAAGCCTGCCTTGTCTCTGTATCCTGAGGGTTTCCAAAACACCCCTATCAACCATCGGGTGACACGAAAATGGAGCTGCCAGCCTGCTCTTCCCAAGCCAAGGAGCTCGGTGGGGGATGCTGTAGGGAGTGCTTTGTGTCAGACACCAGGAGAAAGTGCCAGAGGTGCCACACACACGTGCACACACACACACACACTTGGCCAAACCCAGCCACCGCAAACTCCCTGGTATCGGGGACCTGGTTCCTGAGCTCTGGACAGCATCTGCTCAGCAGTCTGGGAGGCTCTTGCTCCCAAACTCTCTTCCTCCTCTCCCTCCCCTTCACCCTCACCAGCCATGGGGCTGCAAATAGCCCACGGGGACATACCCAGTATCCACCTAGAGGCTAAAAGCAAGAAGGGCGGTTTAAAAAGAACATGCACAATTCAGGAAACTTCCACAGCTGCTCATAGAGAACAACATATAAATACAGATTGTTCATCTGAAGACTACAAAATAAAAAAAAAAGTCCTAATTGAACCCAGTCATTCTGCTTTAACACTCTGTTTCTGCATTGTTTGTGGTTGATGGAAACCAAACACGTTTCCATCTGTGTGTTTAAATTACAGGCTTACAATTTCTGTGTAGAAAACACTCCAGAGCCAATAGCAGTTACAAAGGCCAACTGTGAAACAGTAGGAAAAAAAAAAATCAACACCATTTATTATTCACATATTGCATTACAAGTGTCTCTTATCAAACTCAGAGTATAATTTATATTATTCCTGTAGGAACTCAAATTCAACACCACATAGAAATAAAAGCTAAATACGCGTGTGACGGGGTTTCCGTGACATCCTGATCAAATGTCGAGGCTCGGACCGACGAGAAGGCTGACGACCCAAGCGATTAGTGCAGGAGGGGCACAGCCCGGCGCTCACTTGCCCAGTACTACCACTCTACTGGCGATTCTTTATTGCTGTAAAACACGACAGGGCTGGTTCCACGGGTACCAGTTTGCAAAGGACTGGGAAACACGTCGGGAGGACTCACGCAGCCCGGCAAAACAGACTGGGTTTCAGGAACAGTTTGAAGTGCATCTTTTCCAAATGCAGAGTGACACAGATCTCCTCTCCCTCTGACCATGAATATTTTGTTGATCACCTGAAAGACCACTTTCCAGACTGTGATTGCCTCATTGGTCTGCTTCAAGAACTACATCTAAGATGCAGAATGAAAAGACGTTTTGAGGAAGGACTGCTTAATGAAAATTAAAAGGTTCAGCCCTCATGCCACGCCTGGCACTCATGTGGAGAGAACCAAAATGGTAAAAAAAAATAATAATTAAGGCAGTTTACAAAGGGAAGCTGACTTCTAACACCTCAAAATCAAGGAACTTCTCAAACACAAACACAAGGGAAGGCGGCTCTCCCTCCCATGGGTTAAGACTTGGCTTGCTTTTGCAGATGCAAGCATTCAAACCAGCAGTTTTAAACACAGCCGAAGAGAAGCAGATTTCTCAGCACTCCAGGTGACCCAAACAACATGTACATTGGTGTTTCAGATAGGAGAAGCAGGTAAAGAACAAAAACATCCGTTCGGTATTAAAACTTGTGCAAAAATAGCAAGTGAAAAAAAATGAAACCACATGTAAGCAAACATTTAGGCAAGATCATCAGAGCAGTGGAACCCCCTGCTTCGTACTCAGTAGTATTTTTCTTTAAAGTAAGGCAATAATAAAATGAACATGCAGGCAATGATGTGTTGGATCTGCATGTTTGAGATGACAGATACAAAAACATGAGACTTGTTTACAAAAGGTGTAAACGCCATCGGTAATTTCAGGAAGGTTTGTGATCCTATTAAGGAAAATGTTAAAGCTTCTAGGAAGGGGGCTGTAGTTCAATTCTTTGGCAGTAGTGGTTGGTTGGTTTTTTTTTTTTTAGGCTAACAGAAGCATTACGAATATGCACATGTGGGTTCTCAGTTGGGAAACATCTCCTGGGACCATTGTTTAGCTGATGCTGAGCTGTGCAAATCCTATAAGTTTGCCATCATCAGGAATATCTGAGCCTTCGACACCGGACGCCTGAAACACAAGGAACAGAGATCCAAATAGCAACACACACACGCTCTACCCTCCGATACGTACCGTGCTACGCATCACAACCACCTCTATCAGACACAGCCTGGGGAGGGAGCAGTCACAGGACAGCTTTGCACTTTATTCAGCAGCTCACACTACCCAAAGTTAAAATTGAGCGCTTTTTTTTTTGCCCCCCACCTTTTTTTTTTTTTTGAAGCTAGGAAGGGCTGGGACTGAAGTTTTGCCAACGTCTGCTCTGACTAGGGCTATGTGCACTAAGTGGGGCAAAACAAGTGAAAACTCTTTCTGTAAGGAGTCAAAAATAATGGCACTTACTGCTTCACTACCAACAAACTGGTTACAACCTTCACTTTGCCACTACAACTACCTCTGAATTTCACCACCTCTGAAGGATTCACCCGCCATTCTTTCTCCTCTCCTGATCATCATCTTAGTTTTGGCTCTGTTCTTTTACCCTCCACTCTTTTTTCATTCCTTTCCTCCTCAGAGGCAATGTATCTGGACCCCCCTCCACTCTCATCATCCAAGAACGGAGTCCACGGCATTTCTCAGCCCACTTACCTGCCCTGAAGTATTTCTGCCCTTTCTGGGCAAGAGTAGAGAAAATACCCTTTTGTAACATTTTGATACGCTCCTTAGCCAGGAGAAAGGAATGTTTTAGCACGTGACCTCACACTTGTTTAACCCAGGTGCTGCTCAGAGGACACAAGCAGGAAGCCTGCATTGCCTACTGTTAGACAACCAGGAGGAAGCTTTGGGAAAGAAGGGAGGATTTAGAGGGCGTACATTAGATGCCTGCAGCAGGCATCACAGGCATCTATATGCAATGCCTTCTCTTTGCAAGCGACAACTTGTTCAATTAGGGAACAGGAATAAATACCAGTTTGAAAGTGACGGATCTGTTTGCTTGGGGCTCTTCCACAATTTTCTGCAAATTAGCTGCAACTGAAATCACACACACAGACAAAGAAAATGGGCAAATATTAGAGGACAAGCTAGAGAAAAAACATCCCAAACTCATTAGGCCGCTTTCTAGTACTCAAACTTAGAACTTCTTAAAATGGTAAAAAAAAGTTTAGGTCCCAATTAGACTCAAGCTACTTAAATCTAAAGCTTTAAACTCTGAAAATGCTGGCATTTGTTACTATGCTGCTTTTTCAGAGGTAGTTATTTTTTCCTGGATGTGGTGGGATTAGCAGCAATGAACTGCACCTGGAAATCCAGTTCATTTTGCACCAGCAGCCTTTCCAGATGTTGCAGCCTGTGTACAAGGAACAGTTTTGATCGCTATAGTCAAAACAGGCCGTGCTGACAGCTTAAAAGCCTCACCTGCTGCACAGAAGGACACGTTTATTTAGCAAACTGTTGCTAGAGGTGGCCGTTCATCCCCATACGACATGTGCACTTCACCCTTCCTTCCCCAGCCCCACTTCAAACCCAAAAGCCTGGCCGATTCCAGTCCCAGACCTCTCTTGCACAGGACCTGTGAGCAGCACAGGCTTGTGCAGCAGTTTGGCAACGCATGCGTGTCAGATGATAATGGTTTAGCTAATGCATCGATTAGCCTTCATTTTGCATTACAAGGAACATTTGCTTCATCATGTTTCCAACCAGATCATATCCTTGTGGACTGGGGGGTTGCCTAAATGTATGGCACAGAACTGTCACCAGAGTTAACAGCAGAGCCACTGGGGTAGAGAACCAAGGCCACAGCAAACTCTCCTAGTTGATCCCCACTAATTGGGTCATTTTAAACATGCAAAAAACGACTGAAATGGTTAGAGCAGAAAAAAAATAATACATAATTACCTATTACCAGATCTCTGCCATCAACAAGACCTGCTGAAATGAGTTCTTGAGACACACCATCAGCAGTATCTGTTGGGGAGAAACCCAAGAGCCAGTCACCACACAACAGAAACTGTCCAGCTCACGAAGGCATCACATAGAAACCTACAGAAGCTTGTACGAACCAAAGAGCAAAAGATGGATATTAGGGTGTACAGCAGATGCAGTCAGACAGCTCTGAGCTATGCTGTCAAACTCAGAGTCAGAAGTCATAGAAGGGCTGTGCTTTGGTCATACCCACAAATAGTTTTACAAGAAGGGTCTTAACAGCAGTGCTCCAAGCCCAGTAAGGCAAGCCCTTGAGGAAGGCACTGTGGACAGACACCCAAACAGGGTTTCCACACACACAACTGCACAACACCGAACACAAAACCACCGTCACACACTGGAATTTCCCACCAACTCACCTCTCCCTGGGGTAAACTCAAATCGAATATCATTGAGCTCTTTTTTTGAATTCCTGTGGAAAGAAGAGAATCTTATATAGACGAGACCATTTCCGTGCACTGATCAGTGCCCAGAAGAAAGCGCTGTCACTGACTAATCAGCCTCTGAAGTGGATTCATTGCACCCTTCCCCCTGAAAAGGCAGAAACTAATCACTCAGGTGTGCGTCCGCCTGGAAGCAGGGCTCTCGGCACAGTCTGCCTCTCAACCTGAGGGAGCCTGAGCGGGCTAAAGTCCAGGATAAGCGAGTGCCACCTCTCTGGTACGAGGCCACTTGTTCCACTGTCTCAGCAGCTCCTGACTGTCAGCAGTACGTCCTCAGAGCACATCCTTCAGAGGAAGGAAGCACTCACTGACTGCAGATGCACACACACTATGCAACTGTCTAGGAATGACTGGGAGGTGACGCTCGGAAGTCCCAGTCCGATGCCTATCAACAACCAAGATGCCTACAGAGATGAGAGGCAGGTTCCTTAAATGAGGAGCATCAACGTGTGTAACAACAGAAAAATGTGCTTACAAGCCTTTTTCTGCCTACTTCTAGGGACACAGACCAGAATCCTTGAATTGGGTAACAGCTCTTCACTCTCAGAACTGGCTGAAGTCTGCAGTTGTGCCTGAATAGGAAGATGGCCCGGCTGAAGACCAGAACCCCTGGATCCCTGATCCCCTTCAGGGAACCCAGCTAATTCCTCCTTCCCACCCTGCTAAAGTTTAGGAATATTTATACAAATATTCTTTCAGTCTACAGCTCTTGCCAAACTGAAGTGGATGAGAAACCACTTCTCCGGGTCTCAGTTTCAGAAGGGTGGATGAAACCCAAGCTGACAAACAACATATAACCACTGCCCTTTTAATGAAGAAGCAGATGGCAAGATGCACCACACAAGTCTTCCTGTGTCCCTCTCTGCTAAGGCTCACTTCGACAGAACAGGTTAGTTTTGTGTCCTTACCTTAACCTTAGTACAAGGCTGATGGGGACTTTCGTATCTTCCTGTACCGGAGCTGCAGCAGGAGCAGGTGGGGCCTGCAATAAGATTACATTATTTTAGAGACCACTAGCACTTCCTTTCTCTGGTTTTAAAACTAGAGAGAACCTTGATCAACTACAAATAAACTCACCATTGGAATCATGACACTACAGTGAAAAAAGACAACAGACTAATGAAACAGGAGAACTTTATGCTTAAAGAGTAACCCAGGAGGTTCTCTCTGCAATCATCTGGAGAAGAGTAAAAGCTACCCAACTTTGAGAAATGCCAAAATGGCAGGGGACTTCAGAAGAAGTGCTAAATGTAGAAAGGCTGCTTGCTTCGCATCAGAACTTCAGGATTTTGGGCATTCATGACAGCTTCGAGACCTCCTGTGTTTTAATCCCTGCCCCAAGCAACTGATTTAAACTGATACGATTGTGAAGAGTACCTAGGAAATAATTTAATTGGCAGATTAGCATATACTTTCCAGTTACTTTTTTGTGAAATCAAAGGCTTTAAGAGCATCTCAGCAATGTTACAGCTGCCTATTTTCACTTCTAAATTACTCCTGAGTAATTATTGGAACGTGTAACCAAAGCATTTTATATTGGTCAGCAGCAGATTTCCAGTACAAAAGATCCAGGAGGTGTCCATCTTTATAACACTTGTGGTGTCTCCAGTAAAGGGCTAGCTGTTAAACACAATCCACCAAAAACCCCACAAACAAAACAAACAAGGGTTGGTCACTCTTCCACTGCACAAGTCATCTGTACTGCACATACTGAGGCAGGGATTTCTAGTCCGCAACAAGACAGACACAGCTAGGCCGATAATTTAAGCCTGGAACTCTTGACCAAGTTTTTTCACCTAGATTACTTGCTTTTTCAGGAGAGAAAAAAGTAACCCTTTGTTTAAGACTAGTATTTTACTCATTGGTGCTCTTCTGCTAGCAATGCAGCTCAGGGCTTCTGATCACAATCTTGTTTCTGTTGAAGCTGAAATCTTTACCAGGTCAGTGAAAACAAACACGGGTTCATAGAGAAGCCCAGAGGTCTGCAAAACAGTAACCAGCAAGCTACAAGAACCGGAGGAGATCTATAAAGAATAACACACCGACACAAAGAGCTGTAAAGACGAACATATTGACAAAAGAGAGCTATAGAGAAGAACATAGTGACACAAAGAGCTATAAAGAACACCACACTGACACAAAGGTATGAAGTTCACCTCAGGACAAGCTACCAACAAGTAAGCTATTGGGCACTAGTGGCAGGGAGCGAGATACTCTGCTAGTGCAAACCAAAACACTTTCACTGAGACCAACACTGCTACTTCATTTTACCGAACTGAGAGTCTTGGCCTTCACTGCTGCTGGTGTTTCAACTGCTGCATAAAATTCAGGGATTAAACACTGGCCCTTTTTCAAGAGATTCGAAGGGGTTTGATTTAAGATTTAAGTATTAAAGCTACTTTTAATGTAGCCAAGAACATGTCAGACCCCAACTCCACTATTTTTGTTTAATGACTAATGCAAGGTCTTTAACGATTCTGTAAACAGGAACATGAGCTGACTGCAGTGAAGTGATAAACGTATCTTTCTACGGTCTTTAAAATAAAAATAATGAAACATTTCTAGGAAGGAGTAAGTCTAAAAGATATTTTTCTCACCAACACTGCCAAGTTTTCTTCCCCTTGGGTCTGCCAAAGGGTGATGGTAGCTTGGCCCCCTCCAACAGTGACGGCCTCTCCCCACCAACAAATATGAACTTCAGTGTCTTTTATAAAAAAAGAGGTGCCATCATTCAGGAGTCTGGCAAGCTCTGCAGTGCTTCACTCCAGCAAACCACGAGACATGTTCCAATGTCTCAGTAATGATTTGGGTTGGCCATTTTTCTTTTTAACACAAGTCAGGGCTTGCTTTCCTGACTTTGCTATGCCTGCCTATCTGACCTATATCCTAGACTTCAAGGTGACGTAGCTAAGAATTAAACACAAACTTGTCAAACTTTCACTCTACTTCCCCCTCAAAGGTCCATTCTCCCCTCTCTGCTTGAAATGGAAGCGTTTGAAATCACCAAAAGGTTCAGAGCTTCCCCAAGATGGAGTTTCTCCACAATTTCTGACTGTGACAAGGACAGTCTTAACCTAGGCCTCCTGTCTCTCTTCTGAAGTCTGACGAACTTACACATTCTAGTTTCTTCCTGTCGCTTTTCTCTCCACTCTTATCCCACAGATGCTATTGATACTGAGACACACAATCAGAGCCTGCTTGTGCTGCACCTTAACTACCAGGAACAAGCAGCTGCACTTAAATAAGACTCTCCCTTTTTACTTACCTTTAACCTTCCCTCAAGCTGGAGTCCACTCCCTAAACGGCATAAAAAGTCACTGCTCACCCACAGAGTAAGAATGAAAAACTGCCACACGCACATTGACTGTCTTCCTTTTGCAAGCCACCAGGCCAGCTGCCACTTCTGCATAAGCAGCAGCACCAAATCAACTCCAGACAAGCAATTTTCATGGTTTCGGATCATTCTAGCATGTCTGGAAAAGAACAGCTAAGTGCAAAGCTGAAAGCTGGTACAAAGGGTTTCCGATCTTACCTGGGCTGCTGCTGGGGCTACTGCTGGGGCTGCTGGAGTAGCCTGACTAGGTGGAGGTACAGCAGTTTGAGGTTGTGCAGGTACTTGTCCTGCAGCCTGAGGTAGTTGAGTAGGTGCCTGTGCTGGAGCACTGAGTGAAGGACCTGGAGGTTCAGCTGATGGGAATAGCTGCAAGTAAAGAGGCATTTTAATGAGAAAAGGAACTTGAGAGTTCTAACTCAAGCACCAGCTTGCCAAAAAGTGCTTGTTTGCCCCATAAATCACTTGGAGAAGTTCAATGCCAAGGAGACCTCCAAGACACTAACACTGATCCCAAGTCGGCGTTCGAGGGGTTTAATGTCTCCTTATGTCCAGGGCCCGCTTCTACCCTGACATTTGCAAGTTTTACTCACCAGTAAAGAACAGTAAGAAACCAAGGCAGCATGACTGTGGATCTTGGACAAAAGTTACACCCTGCAGCTAGCAAGGCTGGATGCACGCAGATCACATCCTAGCCCGGACAAGTGCATCTACCCTTTAGTTTCTCCCCTTTCTCGGAATCCGAGTCCTACTCCTATTTCTAAGCAGCCATGCAGTCATAGCAGAGCAACTCTGCTTTGGGTTGTAGCTCCTTTCAGAGAACACAGCCCAGCAAAGCATTAAGATAACTAGGAACAGTTTACCCATTCGTAAAACAAGTGTCAGAGTTGGAGCAATCTGGATATTCAACTGAAAAGTGAATTTGGAGTTCTTCAAAACTCACGAGACCAGACTGTTTAGGATTAGACTTAAAGTTAGTCCCTTGCAAAAAATATCATATGCAATTAATGGTGGGGAGGAGAGAGCTAAATGGCAGTTTAACATTTTTTACCTCCTGTGTCAATCAGAACAGAGAAACTCATTTTGGCACAGTAACCAACAAACTGTAAGCTTGACAGCACTTCTTCAGTGTGCCCTCCAACTTTAAGTTGGAGAAAATATAAATCACCTTGAATATTGAAAACCCGGGCTGCAGACCTCCAACTCACAGTATATGCTAAGGGATGTATCACAGTATATGCTAAGGGATGTATCACAGTATATGCTAAGGGATGTATCACAGTATATGCTAAGGGATGTATCACAGTATATGCTAAGGGATGTATCACAATGAGGGAATTCATGCCAAAGGGATTCTGGTTTTCAGCTTTTTCTTTGAATTTAGAGTTTACGACAAATTTCAGTGCCCAAACTGTACTTTTTAAGATCTCCCTTCATAATCACCCTTGGAAACAGATGAAGGAAGAACAGGACAGGCTAATTCAAGACTAATTTGCAGGAAACAGCTCTGTTTATCTTTCCATACAGGTAGGCAAAAAAAAGAGAGCACAGTCTCTAGAAGATAAGCAGTCTCTATCACTGAAAGATAAGATATACTAACATTCCTAACATAAAACACACAGGACAGAAGTGAAGGCAGATTATAAATTGCAACTGAAGTTTTGTTTGCTATCAAATTCCACCACAGATTTATTTCACAGTTCTGAGCATAGGTTCCAACCAGTGAATTAGACTATGCAAACCAGACATTTTAAAGCTGTGGTTTGTTGTGTTGTGGGTTTTTTTTTTTCTTTTAAGAGGAAATCAGAACACCAATCCATTATCTTACAACATACAGAGTTTTGCATAGCAAGTAAAGTTGAAAAGACATACATACACCAAACGTACCTCAGGAAGACCTCTTGACATTACACAGCCAATGATTCCTTTTATAGGGAGGTTTTCAAGCAGAGCTCAGCTAGATACTAGCTCCTATTTCACACAGTATTGTATTCAAGGCTAATAAAAACATGTTCCTTGAAACAACAGGAGTAACTAGGAGCCTTTTCAGGAAGTCATTTGCAACTCTAACTTACCTCCGAATTCTGTACAGGTTCTTTCACTCTGGGAGACTGAAAAACAGAGAAAAAGGTGTCATTGCCTAGACAACAGTGAAACTTACTGACCAGGAGGACTTGTCAGAACCATATTGAACATATGACATCTACATAATTGCTTTTGAGTTACATATATGTATTAATATGCATAAGAAAAGGGACACCACACAATTTGTTGGCAACCTAGTCGTATCATACCACCCAGAAACATACAGTCACGTTTCAGAACTTGCAGTTGATGTTTTCACAGAGGCATACAATACCCTAAGCTGCTATCGTTGTTAACCATTAGCAAAATCCAGCACTCTTGAAGATCACTCAGACTGGATCAAATGACTTGTGCACCCAGATGGCAAAATCCATTTTAAGCTACCCAAGCCTTGCAGAAAAAGGTAAGTCACACAAATCTGCCCTGCTGAATTCTGGTAGGAAACAAACCCCCTTTTGTATACTTAGGGAAGCAGTTTGCAAAGCAACTTGCTTAAACCACACAAAACCTTGGGGAGGGGTGGGTGTGGGGTAAAATCAGCCTTATTTGTGCCGCTTTATGGAAAGAAGTCTCTCGTCTGCTCTCCTTGCCTTGGACTCTGCATTATGATGTGCTCTCCGTGAGAGAGAGAAAACTGACAGCTGTACACAAGTTCAGCAGTGAAACAATCAGATCAGTAGAATGGAGAGGAAAGTGCAGTCAAAGCAACATGACCAATCTTTGCTTATCAGCAAAACAAAGATAACATGCATTAGCTATTTTACATGAGCAGGAAGGAATCGCCAAGTAATCCACCAAGGAAAGCCCTGCAATTAAGAGAGCCTGCAGCTTTGACTTCTAGCAGGTCCAGCTACCATGTGGAGACAGACAGGTGGGATGGCTTAGTCCATGCTGGGATTAATATAGATTATCTTCTTCACATAATGGTCTAAGACAAGTTGCAACTAGCACAGTACAAGTTCAACAGAAGAACATTAAGTCTCATCATGACACTATCTTCGATCAGTTTATACACTAACCAAAGCCACTACCTTAACAAATGCAGACCAGCACAATTTGTAACACATGATCCAGAGGCTTCCCATCAGAGAAGGTTAAAAAGTCTTATATTCTCAGAATAGCAAGTTGCAAAAAGCCCTCTGGACAGGAGGACAAGGAACAGTTCCTTCACAATGACTATGTGCAGACAGTGTCAGGAAGAGGTAAAGCCTGAAATCCATCTCAATATGCTCAGCCTTCACTTGACAGTTACCAGGCAAGATGAAAAACATGGCATCGCTCCCAGAGATAAACAGCCACGCTCCACATCTGCAGGCCACAGCTGCAGCACTGTTCTTTCAGGCACAAAGCTCATATCCAAGAGCACCCAGATGCCTCAAGGAATAACTCAAAAGAAGCTTGTCTGAACAACCACAGCGTGCTAGACACTGTACAGACAAGTATGGAAACACTGGTCCTGCCCCACAACTAACGCAGATAAACGGCAAATAGAAGTAAACTAAGGAAAAACACGAACAGACAGAAAGGAAACAAGACAAACGTTACAAGACGTTTACCTAATTAAGGCACAAAGAGGATGACTCTGGGGATGTGCTGAAATATATTAGTTCTAGCTTATTTTTGCTTGCGTGATCAGAGATGACATGAGCAACCAGTGAAATGTGACCACACAGTGTGGCACTGCATAGATGTATTGAGTAACAGAAGGCGAATGATTTAAGAGCCCACATTGCTTTCATTTGAATTCAAGGTGTTACATGCAGATAGGAATGAAGTTCAGTAAGTCTTCATATCCAAAAGGTAACATTGAGACAGCAAGTCACCATATTCAACGAACTGAGCAGATATTTCTAGCTCTGTTTACAATAAATATTTGTCTGCTTTCAGGTGCAGTCCTAGCAAAAGACTTGTAAAATACATTTTTTACATATTAAATTCACCCTATTTTTTCTGTACAGTGAAGACAAGAAAAACACATACACCCTTTATTTATGAAGGTGCTTTTATGCAGGTTAATACTTAAGTATTTCAGTAAATTAAAATCAATCTGCAAGGCATCCTTTTACTTTAAAGAATGACAGCAATAAAATGCAGGTACAGACAGAATCATAGAAACACAGAATGGTTTGGGTTGGAAAGCCCCTTTAAAGATCATCTACTACACCCCTACTGCAATGGGCAGCAATAAAAGGTGACACCTAGTTAAAGTAAGTTATTCTATCCTATAATTTAGTTAAAATTGCAGAGGAATTACAGACAGGTGGAATTTACACCCTGTGTTTGAAACACGGCCAAAACCACAGCATAAACACTAGTCCTCAGTAACACCACCCTATTCATGGCAAGCATTGGCAGTCTGGTTACAAGTCTTAAGACTGCTTGAAAAGGGATCAAATGCAAGAGATGGCAAGCATTGGCAGTCTGGTTACAAGTCTTGACTGCTTGAAAAGGGATCAAATGCAAGAGGTGCACAGGCGTTCCTACCCTTCCATCTTCGAATAGAAGAAAATGGCCCAAAAGCTGTGTAGAGGGAAAGACACCCAGGGCAGGATTCAAGCCCCTGGACAGACATGTAGTGAGGTCTAAGATGCCATCCACGGTGCCCTTCCTGACCTCCAGAATGGTACAGGTCTCCCAAAGTTATGCATGATACCTACATGGGCTGCATCCGAAATGGCAACATACATCTACGCTTAGGTAACTGAATTGAGACCTACTGCTCCAACACCCATCCTAAAGGTTTCTTGAACAGAAGGCCTAGCAGCAAAGGCCAAGCTTAGCCCAAATTACAGCGATCAGAATAGACAGCAACACAAGGAAATATGCCAAAGCTCCAAGAAAAATAAACTGGCTTAAAAAGCAGCTTGCAAACATGTTTGTCAATCTGCCTTTTTTTTTTGCCTGCATAAGAGGAATGAAACAAGTACTGTTACAAACACAGTGAGCAGTGTTAAGTCATAGCACCCTGAGCTTAGAGACAAGATAGAACAAGTTCTAAATAATCTCCAAAATAGAGTTAGGGTCTTTTACAATATTGCCTCCTAAAATCTGATTATATTTTAACCTACAAAAGGAATTTAGAAGTTTTCAGCTCATAAAACATCCAGAATGTCAGGAGTAGCCACCTGGTACCAAGAGATCCTCCGTGACCATGTAATATGAAGCTGGATATAGCAAGCTCCTTAAAAAGCCACAATAGTTGTTGCCACGAAGTATGGAATTACTGTATCAATAGTGGCCTTTAAAAACCCAAGCATGTCAAAGGGTGCTAAAAAGATGCAAAATCTTACATTTAATATTTAAGTGTCTATACAGAACATCAGCAGAAGACCAATGAAAGAAATGAGAAAAGTTAAAGTTGCAAAGGGATAAATGCTTCAAACAAATACTGCTTCTTTTTTTTTCCCCTTTCATATTGAAAAGCTTCCTCTAAAAATCCTTCACTGTCTCACTAATTCAACTACAGAACGATTAAAACACATAGTCCACTTCAAGCTACCTGCTGCAGTGAAAAGGGAACGGGCAAGCCAATACTGTCAAAACCCACACTGCTGACTACTGGAAGGAAGACAATCTGGAAAAGTACTGTGATCTTTCAGTTGATCATTACCCATTACTCCTCTGTGATTCGGGGGGTTAAGGAGAGGGGAAGGTGGTGTTTCCCAGAGGATTTTTGAGAGCTAGACTAATTACTCCTCGAGACTTCAGAGATGCTGTAACATTTTCTACTAGGACTAATCGATTTCAGTGTAACTGAGGGGACAGAACCAGGCCCTATGTGTTTCAGGTATCAGCCATAAGCCCAGGCCCTGTTGATTTCAGCTCCATCCTGGAGAGAACAGTAGGACAAAACCTCTCCTGACATTTCCAGAAGAAAGCACCTCAAACAGTCAGCACCCTTAAAAACAATGAGAATATCCTAGTTCAAGGGAATTAGTATGCTAAGCTGGGAGCAGACCGTCTGAATTCATGTTCCAAATTATGTTCAATAACCCTGAATGAGACCAGCTGTGCCCCAGAACAACGACAGAAGAGAGATCAATACAATCTCTTCAACTTATAGTCTGCTCTCTCTGGTTTGGCTACACACTCAAGGGGAGGGATTCTAACTTACTGCATATCATACTTAAAACAAGGCCACATACTTCCCAGGGATATTTAGACATACCACAGTTAGAAAACAGAACAGAGACAGTAGAGCCATCAGAGTTTGAAGACCCACCCTGAGCTGTGAAATTGCTGCTCTGCCTTCCTCACTTTCTTCATCTAGTTCATCATCACTCCATTCCCAGCCACCATCTTCAGTCTTATGAAGACGTCCACTGGAACCTGGGACTCTCCGGACCTGCTCAGCACAAAGACAGTGAACTTCTGTCAAGCACACAGTTCCACAGCTGATTTTTTTTTTTTTTCAGAAGGAATAGCACAAGAACACCTTCAGGTTGCATCACCTGGCAGGGTGCTTGAGTATTTTATTGAAACGTCTAGCTCAGTATCTAGAAAAATGCCGTACTACAGTAATTATCATTAAAAATGTGAACACAAGCATAAAAACCTAGTATGACTGTAACAGCAAGAGTCCAGGAAGTTTTCAGTACCTTTTTGGATCTTTCAGTGATTGTTGGTGCTCTCTGCAACATCTTCTCTTGTAAAAATTCTTTATTCTACAAAAGAAAGAATACCAAACATTCGCATTGCTGAAAACACCATTTCATTCCTTCAGTGTCTCTGATCAAGAAACTGTTAAGCTATTTCTAGCAGAAAGCGTTATACATGTTTCATCCCCATTCCCCCAAAGACATCAACCACCTTCTTCCTTTGGACTACAGTACATGATGCTTCACCCCAATTACCTTTTCAGTTAGTGGTAACACTTTCCCTATGCAAAATGATATAGAATTAACAATCAAGGAGTTGTACATTATTCTGCCTGATTTACTGGGGAACACACTTATTACACTGCAGCATCTGATACCCTGCTGAGACAGTTGGCACTCTTCCACTCGCAGATACGACACCACCTGGATCCAGCCCCTTGGCTTTATCTTACCCCTAAATTTATGCCTGTCCAACTGTCAAAGGCAAGCCTCAGATGTCAGGCAGGCTGGGATGCAGGAACCCCTCTATGCTGGAGTGACAAGACCAGGGAATTGGGGCAGCGGGATTGAAAGTGGCTGAAAAAATGTACAGCACCTATGACGTTTAGAAAGGAAGTAAATGCAGTGATCACAACAGATTAAATATTGTGAAACTGCTGTGATGCCCTAGTGTATTAACTTTCTTCTCCAGCAAGCCACTCCGGACTGGTTAACATGGGGGATCCTGAGCATACAGTTTTCCATCCACCAAACTGCAGGGGAGGCAGGCCAGGCAAGCTCCCAGGCATCAGCACTGGGATCTGGCTGGGTATTCCCCAGCACACGAGTGGCGTTGGACAGCCCTGCCCTCTCTGCCCCTGAAGTGCTCCCAGAACTCCCCTGTTGTTGCGTGCAGGATGGAGAGCCTCAGGACACAGGCCGTCACTTCCCGGCAAGTGGCTCTCAGCATTATCAAAACACACTTTTACATGACATAGACTGTATTTAAATATATGGTTCAATATAGATGTACAGAAGTTGGGCTCTTCCGTCCTCAAGTTACAGCTGGCAGTTTGGCAGTGGCTGATGTATGAAAGTAAATTTAACACCGAGTGTGAACTAGCACACGTTTTCACTCCGGGTGCCGGTTTAAGTATTGCCTCACTTACAATAATGTTAATTTTCTATCATCACATATGCCAATATGTTACTTTGCAGCAGCTTAATGAAAGCATGAAGGAGATTTTACACACAATGAAGTACAACATGAACCAGAACTCGCATAGGCAAACGGAGAAAGGTCAGCAATGTGTAAACCATCTTGTCACTTTGGACACCAAGTGCGCATCCAGTATACAGATGCAGACTATTCAGTTGCCTAAAGTCCCATCACGGACAATGAAAACCTAGTTAATATTGTCAAGAGTCCAGACATCAAGTAAACTTGCCCTAAAGCAAACTCCTACATTTCATAAACTGGATGACTCTCTAGGCTTCCTTGACCACACTTGCTAGATGGCTGTCAACTTTAATGGGACATCCAGCTCCCGTATAGATACCTACATGTGGCTACTGCCATTTAAGCATCTTAATCTGGGAGCTGAAAACTACTTTGATTAATTGGTGATGCTGCTGTGCTATCCCCGGTATCAGATATCTTTTTCACAGTTTAATCTGTGTTCTGCTATAAAACCCGTGTATTTTGATGACAAACATGCCATAGGAAAAAAAGACAAACCCCAAAAAAAAGAAAACAGAAAACATTTCCTCATTCGCACAGAAATATAAATTTTGCCTTGGATTATTTTTGTCTGTCTCCCTCAGTAAGACCTTGCACATCGCATATGCACTCACCTCCAAGCAGTAATTACATAAATGCTCACTGGCAGGTCACTTCAAGGCTAGAAACACGAGTTTCCTACTATTCTGCATCACTGGATCTTCACTTTCCATGAGGCAACAGAGTGAAACAGTTTTAGGTAGCTTTCCGCAGTGGGTCTCATTCACCACTTTGTATACAGACTGATTACAGAGTTTAATAAAATATAATTTACATTTACTGCCACAGAAGCCTTTATGGTTTGGACAGGCAGCCAGAATGGCACCATTACAAGAGAAGAAAAAACCCACAAAGCCACTGAAAGATATTTAAATGCTCAAGAATGTCTAGATAATTTCTCTTAATAGCAGCATACACAAGGAGGTACAGAAGAGGGGTTTCATTCTGTTCCTTCACAATGACCCATTCAACTCACTGGGCTATGCTGGCCCCAAGTGAAAGGGCCCACACTCATGCCAACGAAGCTGTCACCATACCTATCATACTTCTGAAAAGTCCTCCCCACAGCCTCTGCACAGAGCAGTTTAGGAAGTGATTCCTTACCTTGGCTTTCGTGAAAAATTTGTGCCTTAAGAGTTCTGCTGCTGTTGGTCTGTCAACAAAAACAGATGTAGAAAAGACAATTATAAATGCTCCCTTTCAACACAACGGTCTTCCAGGTTGCTGCAGCTTGTTGTAACATGGCATCTCATAAGGGCATCGGCTTCTCCTGCATAATTCCCCTAAAAATCAGTCAATGTATTCCAAGTAAATTTTACAACAGCAGTCTTTTTAAACACTCAGTGTATTCTGATCAAAGCCTATTCTGTTCAAAAGCACTGAGTAACCTGAGGGCAGGGGAAGAAGTTGCTCCCATTTTGATGCTGAACTTTAGCCTCTTCGAGCCACTTTGAGAGGATCACAGAAACAATTTGCTCAAAATTGAGGCAGAGGATCATCACCTACAGCAGGAGTGCAGTACTCGCCCTGTGCAAGTAACGGAGTTATTTCAGAGATACTTGACTATATGTGTGCAATTAGTGCTATTAAACACATGTGGGACAATCAACTTTTGTCTAACAGAAAAGGAACAAGTAAAACTATCCTAAAGTTAGACTTTAGGATAAATACTGGAAAATAAGATATATCCCTTGGTCAGTTTAGATTGAGTCTAAAGACTCAGGCCTACATGAGAAAGTACCAGCTTACAGCACTTCCCACACTGCAAACTGTGCTTAAATAGTAACAGCGTTTAATCAGTGACTTGCAAAGGCCATTCGTCACAGGGTTTATTTGACCTCAGATTACTCGGACAAAAAGCATCCACCTGATAGCAAGGGAGCCCCAAAAATAATTAAACAGCAATTGCACTAAATTCTCCCCTCTGAGAACCCACACAATCTGCACAAGCATATCTGATTCTGCTAGCTGCTCTTTACGGGCCAACCTCCTGCTCCCATAGTCAGGATGATGACGGTGGCTGTTAGTGGTGCTCGAGAAGAGAGAAGGGGAATACCACGATTCAAAGTGATTATGTTTAATTCTGATCAGCACACATTCTAACCTGGAGGGACAGGATATGCTTTAGAAAGGAGAAAAAAAACATCATGCTGGGAAAAAAACCCTGCTATCAGCATTTATCAAGCACTGGATTCATTAAGCATTTCAAGTGTAAAGCTTGTTAGAAGAGAGAGATCCCATCTCACTGTGCATGAGAAGCCTTTGTTCCTGGATCTGTCACAAGAGGGAACTGAAAAATGTCTTCATTATTACCATTTTATGAAGGGACTTTATCTTTTCCAGAGTTAGTTAACTTACTGAGGAAAAAAAGAAAACGAAGATGTATAAAAACTGATCTGTGGGAACGCTTGTTTGTTTACTTTTGCGTTTGAAGGAATGCTGGTTTTAATGGAGGATGAACACTCACAGACTGGCAAATGCTAGGTCTGTCCTCCACAGAAATACATCTGAGCTATCCTATGTGACAGGGTTTTAAACAGTGCTGTAGGCACCCAGACCCTTTGAACAAAGCCATAACATGACAACACAATGCTGTCCTGGGAACCACAACATAGGCACCCCCCTCTTGGTAGTATTTCTAACACCACTGAGTAGTCACACTACTATTACAAGGAAAACTGAAAGTGTCATCAGGTCACTTAAGCAATCCGTATTGATGAAAACATGTTTGTAAGATTCGCCAGTGTTTTTCCCGATTTTTCCCCTCAAAACCAAATATTACTTACAATTAAGCAAGTCAAAACTACACTGAAAGCCTTCTTTGCACTGGCAAATTTTAAAAAGTTTATTTATGAAGCTTTGCAAGTAAACACACATCGCCCAGTGTGTCATTTCTGATTTATAAACACCGAGCGGTTTTGACTGGGAACAAAACATGAACTGCAGTCACCTGCTGGAGGTGGCAAGGGGGAGAATGGCCCTACACACCCAGTGGACTGGGATGCACTCTCATTAACCCAAATGGAAGATGTGTGCCCTGGCCAGGCATGATGCCAGACATTTATCCTTAAAAACAAGGACAGCCAAAAGAATTTGCTGCCACACAGCAAGATTTCTGTGTTCACTGTGACTGAAAGGCGGGAGGAGCAGAGAGCATAACAGCTTTAAAAAATATGTAATAAAATGAGTTTTGCGGTTTTGTTTTAGGTTGGTGTTTTGTTTCGGTTTGTTAGTTGGTTTTGGTTTTTTTTTTTAATTTATTCTGTTGTTACCTGTTCTTACCTTTTTTCAGGGTCTTTTTGTAGGCACGATGAAATCATCTTCCTAAATGATTTCCCATACTTTTTGAGCATCTCCTTATCTTGCACACCAGTTTCCAAAGATGGAGGATCATTTTGTAGTGTCAGCATTAAAACCTGAAAGAATTATGTCTATTGGCAGTGAGATTTTTCTTGGCCTTTGTTAGAGACAGATCTTGGGAACACCGTTATTTTACACACACATTTTCATCAAGCATCTGAGTTAACAAGGACTGTTTCATTACAACAGCTCTCTGAGGGTAGCTGGAGTTCAGAGTAAAGTTTCTTACAATTTAGACTGTCTCCTCGCATTCACCAGACAGTGAAAACTCACCTACTTTTCCTCAAGGCAATTATAGGGTCTCTCCTCACTGCTTCCCACATTCACTAACTTTGTAGAAACAATTATTTTCAAAACCTTTACACCTCTGCAAATTCTGACTGTCAGCTGAGAGGTTCAAGACTCATACAAGAGGATCCAGAGACTTGCCTCTATCTGCTTTCCTTGGGAAGCCAGGCTAATTTATACCCAACAATTTATGCTACCGTTTTCCATCACACCTCCTGGCCCACGGTGCAGTCTGTGGGCCAAACACAAGGTTGGGATGTGCTTTCAGGCCTGTTTGGTGTGATTAAAGCTATAAGCGTAGCAGAACTTCCACCAGCCTTCCTCATTTGAGATGCGCAGATGCACGAGGCATTTGATTCAAAGGCTCTGTTTAGATCTCCCTGCAGGTATTTCTCAGCTAGAAATCAAACTAATGTAAAAGCAGAAAGGCAACATAAAATAATACAAGGGTTCACTTCCATGTACCAATGCAACAGCAGGTGAAGACATTTCTCACACAAGCACCCATCAAATTAAACTGATTATTTCCTTCACATTACTCATACTTTGAGGGAAAGGAAGAAAATTATTCATTTCATTTTCACTTGTCACCTACATACAGATGAATATCTATTTTTAGAAAAGGAAGCAGTACATAGCACATTTAAATAGCTTTCAACAGCTACACTGCTTAGGGCAGCAGGAGCCCATCAATCTAGCTGAAATTACACAGTCCATGACAGAATTCCCTGCTTTTTTCCCCTCTCCTTGGAGGGTCACTTAATGCATGGGTCATTTTGCTGCCTAACAAAATTTATCCGCAGTGAAATACAATTACACTCAATAAATAAAACACAGAAGTCCTCTTGCAGGCTGCATGACTGCAACCCACACCTAGCAGAATTGGAGACTCAATTCTATCTGCCATATGACAACACACAATACTAAAGAGGTGATTTTTGTATTCAAAGCTACAACCCATGCATTCAAAACGCAACAAACAGAAGTACAGCTTGCAGAAGGTACTGCAAAATGCTACCAATAATCACAGCACAGAAGGAAGCATCAATGAAAACAGCAACAGCTAAATCAGCAACACATTTCCCTGAACTCCTCACTGCTCTGCCACAGTCGCTGATATGGTATGAACTTTAATGGCATTTCTAAACCACTCAGCTACTCAGTCCCTGCACAAAGATGACACAAATCTTACAAGTTAATTCTGTTCTACAAGAGTTAAACCAGTGCAAAGTCCTGGCGTTTAAAGCGATATATGGATGTGCCTGTTCTAATCAGTCAGGAGCTACTGGATTCCCAAATGCTACTGTAATTGCAAGGTGGGAGGGAATGCACTCGGGTCCTAAAGAGGTGACACCCAACTGGGATAGCAGTTCAGCAGTTAAAAGACTCAGAAAAGGAAAGCTTGCCCCATGGTATGCCTAAAACTGAGGGACTGGGCACCCACAGGCCTCATATCCCAGGTAACTGGTCTAACCACAAGCTATGGGGTTACTGAAAGGGCTCTCCACCCCCTCCTGTTTGATCCAAGGGAGCATGTATCCCAGGGGTAGAAGCAAAGCAGCCTTCAAGAGGGTGGGCTAAATGGGCTCAAAGTTTCACAACTGAGATAGGGCCCCATCAGATCTCACAAAGGGGCTAGGGAAGAAGGACTCAAAGGTCAGTAGAAGGACAGACTGCAACTGATGGGGTCAACTCTGTTAACTTTAAGATGCAGACTCCCTGAAAGAGCAGTGTGTTGGAAGCAGCTCCTGGTTCAAGTCAGGAAATAGGGAAAGTTAAGCCAAACTATAAGGTGATCTAAAGTTTAAGATATTTTAAAAAAAAATTTTGAAGTGTCAGTGTTTAAACAAGAACATTTCCTCCAGCTCAACTTCCACAAAATATTAACGTTGCCAATACACCACCATTTCATACTGATGTGGTACTTTCCACTGGTTCAGTGACTGACAGGACTGTCTTGGCATTAAATGAAATAAGCCATAATTTTGGATAACTGGTAACAGGATTTCTGAAAGGTATCAAGAAGGATTATCAGTGCAGGAGAACAAATGGCTCACCATCCCAGTGTCACTGGATGCCAGACAACATGTTCTGAATCATTATTTATAGCCCTAAAAACACCTGCTGCCTTCAGAGGCTCCATGATTAAAACACGCAGTACCTTCCTCAAGAACGGTGACCCCGGCAAGACTCAGGATCTAAATAAGAGCTGCTGACAATGCTGATTACATGGCATATTTTTAAAAGGTGACTTCAGATAAATCCAAGAACATCATGATCCACAGGTGTAAGTTGAGAGGACCAACTCTTCAATGAAGCACGCTGGCCAAATTCTTGGAAACACCCAAGAACTTGTCTTGCACAAGTATCTGGAGACCTGCTCCCCTTCATCGGCGGGTATTTATGGTAAGGAGCTGCCCCTGTAGCCAGTTCGATAGCAGTGATCCCAAAGCTCCAGATGTCTGCCTTGAAATCATATCCTCTGACCTGAAAAATATTAGAGGACGTTAGCATGTGCCTCTTGCCACCCTACTCTACAATCCCTTTCTTTAGCCTATTACACATCCTTTCACCCTTTCCTTCCTTTCCCCTTGAATTGGGCTTGGAAAGAGATGGAGCGAACAGTGGTACAGAGGTGGAAAGAACACTTTCTCCCTCCTCACCCCTCAGGTCCTTATTCTTCAAAGAGGTGTTTTACAAGTCCTAGTTTGATGAAGATTATGGTTGTGGACTGTGCAACTAGGATTGCTCTGCCATAAACCTCTCCATGTGTAGAGCATAAAGGGGCACTACTGGGTTGACCCAGACTGTGACTTCTACACAAAGACACAGAGAGTCATTAAACAGGATAATGAAACTCTCGTAGTTAATAGATGGATTGTTATCCCCCCGGGACATATGCCTCACTACACTTTTAGTCAACTGTTTAATCAATCTGATTTGCAAACATGCTCAATCCTGAAACTTCAGTACACACCAGCTCAGTAAAAAGCCCCTCATTCCTGTCTGCAGACTAATATTTCCCTCCACTAATTAAGAGTAGCTCCTGCGCTTGACGTTAAACACAGAGTTCAGAAAATTTATTGCATTTACTTCCCCTCATGCACAGGAAAAAATATTTCATATGCCAAAGCAGTTACTTCCTCGTTATCATTAGGTAATATCTTGGCACTTGCATTCTCTGCTGCAGGGGAGAGACATTATGTACTAACTTCAAGAGCAGCTACAAAACCCAAAGTGTTTTGGCTGCCTAGAATGGTTTGTATTTCTTCTCGCTAGACTATGGAAAATGAACACTGAATCTGAGCAAAGCTAATAGTGTCCGGCTAACCTAACAAGCTTTAGAAAGACACTCATTGTGATGAAGCCAAAAAAAGTTCCCCAAACTGCCTTTAAGATGACCTCGAATTTTGGCAATTTTCGGCAAACAAACAAAACACCCTCATGTAATACTCTAGCTGAACTGAAATTTATTATAGCAACAGGAGACTATATCTTGCACTAATTCCTTCAACTCTGGAGGCATCATTCTGATGAGCCTTAAAGGTCTGAAAGGCTTCTTGAAGTGCCTCACTTTATGGATACCATGATTGTGAACAGACTTCAACTCATTTAACTAAACAAGCACAGATATCTAGTATAATTTAAAAGAACACAGTGCAGGAAGAAACATGCTGTAAGGGTGGGGTTTCTTCCCCCCTCACGCTATTTTTAGGCTTTGAGAATAACTCTGGGACATTTCTTTGCTTTATCTACAATTCCCCATTCCACATTGGGACTTTTAACTGTTTAGGGGGGTGGGGGGTTAATTAACTTATACAATCCTGCTTGCAAGTGACAGCTACGAAGTTCAAAACTGCCTACCACAGCTCATCTTGACATCTGTCCAATACATATTAGTCACCACTCCCCAGTCAGTTTACATCAACATTTTTTTTCCTCATCAGCTTTTTTTTTTTTTGCCATAAATCCGTCAAGTGAATGTATATTAAAAGACAATGCCAGGCATCACGTATTAACATGCTAAAGGAACTTAATGATGCTGAAGTAAACCAGATGGAATCGGGTTGATAGTATCTACAAATCGAAGGCTAACCTACAGCAACCCCTTTGTCCTTTTTCCCGGGCTGGATATAGCAGCTCAGAGTGACACCTGCTGGAAGACAGCAAGATGATATAAATGGACACTGAAGGATTTCACATCAGAGTGCAAAATACCTCCTTACCACCTAGTAGTTGCAACAAGTTAGATGTGCACAGCCTTCGTGGAAGTGTTGGACTCCCTAGAAAGCATGCCTCCTTCAGAAACATATCTGCTGAATCAAAGACCCCCATTTTGTTACCAAAACCTTCATTCCCCTTTTGAGCGCCCTCCTCAAGAGCTTGTTTTCCCTCTGTTGTCCTGCAGATTGCAGCCACCCTAACTACAATGAGCCTGGAGCAGCACCAGAGCAGGACACAAAGAACAGAAAAGGGACAATTCTGTTCTGGTTTTGGAAACACTGAATACTCTCTTTTTATTTACTTTTAAATCAGCATTAAAAAAATCCAGAAGAGTATGACAGTGAAGCAGTTCAGAAGCAAGTTTGCAAAGATGGCTCCTGCCTTGGGGAGTGTATCTTGTACTCTACAGCGTGAGACTTGTCCTCTGAGGAGGTTGCAAGAGTGCTGGCCTCTCAGTGCCACCAGCCCCTCAGTGCCACCATGGGGAGGAGCCACTGAAAAGGCCAAACATTGAAAAAGCCTTTCATCAAAAGCATATTTAAGTTATTTCAAAATTATCTCAGTCCCTCAAGAAGTTTTAGATATAGGAAAAAATGCATTGAAGTTCTACCACTGTCTTAGCTGCATTTCGTTTTATATATATGGGGGGGTCTTATTCAAGTTCCTACTAAGCTTCAAAATAGTTTACTGTGAGCAGCAAGAAAAGCAACAAGGTGGGTTTACTTTAATAAAACAATGTTTTCCCAAAATATTTTTGTTAAAAAGATTTCTGGAAGGAAAAAAGGAAAAACAGAAAAATATTTATAGTCAGTTCATCTTTCTGTTTGGCACACCTGTCAGAAATCAAATGCTGAGGCCAGCCCTCCGTCAAACTGGTTTTAAGGGGGTGAGGGATAATTTTCAGAATGCTTATGGCACTGAACATCAATGCGATAGCTACTGCAAATGCCCTGTTCAGGACTGGGGCTGAATTTTGTTTGTGGCTCTTGCTCAGAAATGGGCAACAGTATTTTACATTAAGCAAAATTTCCAGGTGGCCTTCATCAGAAGTCATGCAGACAAAGCTTCTGTAGTTTAGTCTAGAAGTAGAGGAGGACAAAACCTGACATATCTCCACCCAATGGGAAGAAGTATGACATCTTTTAGCTAGCCAAAAGAGCCGAGGAGGAAGGGGAAAAGGCAAGTATTCCTCTGCATTTACAGCCTAGATACGCACAAGCCAAGAGAACTAAAAACCTGAATAAAGTCACCTGCATGTTATTTCACTGTAATAACTCCCCACTCTGAGACGCTGCAATGAGCTCCCCCAAATTCTCATATATGCAAATGAAGAGCAGGTTAGCAAGCTATATATGTGCATATTTACCACCTGTGGAACTATTTAAATTCTACCTTACATTCATGCAAGAGGGAGGGACAGGTTAATCTTCTTTGTGCAACAGCTGAGCTGTCTCTTCCTCACCTTAGGAAGGAGCCTGAAGAGAAGCAACAGGGCAAAAGTCTACTGAACACTTAATATTCCCCAGTACAAGCCCGGCTGCAACAGGCTGTGGTTTTAAGAACGCTTTAGAGGATGCCAACTTATCATCTTAGTTTGAAGTAAATATGGCCATTGCTGATGACAGGCAATCCCAGGTGCAGATCAGCTACGAGGACACTAGGAAAAACAATTCACCTGTTCCATAACTTCTGGTGCCATCCAACAAGGTGTGCCCACAAAAGTTTTCCTGACTTTATTTCTGGTAATGTCACCACCAGTGGCCAGAAACGCGCTGACGCCGAAGTCTGAAAAGAAAACAAAACCAGATTTTATTAAGAACACATCCCGAGCAAACTGAAGGGTTGTCCCCTCTTTCCCCTCACATTCCCAGCCATCTATTAAGTCCTAAACCATACAGTTACGCATGAGGAGTTTCCTAATAAACGAAGAATGATCAACAGTTAGCTAAGAGTGCTGGTACACGAACAGTCTGTAGTCCACCATTCAATTACTGGGGACAGCAGAGCTTTCAGCACTGGCTGGCAGAGAGGAAAATTCCACTTTCCATTACAGGCCACTGGTCACATTACAGCCTGCCTGCGCTCCCCCAGCAGATCTGCTACTGTGCAAACCTGCCTCTGACAGCCAGTGCTTTATGTACACTTGTATACGTACGCAGCATGTAGTAACTGAACTTCAATTAGCATCCCATTAACATCTGCAGCAATGAAGCCAGGTACACAAAAAGTTACTAGACTTCGTAACATTTAACTGTCCTAACTGCCTCCTGCAGACTGGAGGTATCAGCCCCTTATTCTGGATGTTTTACTACCAGAATATGCTTTGCTTGGTGATTTTCCATCGCTGAGATGCTCCGTGCTTTAACAGGAACTTAGACCGGTTCCCAACAATACAGCAGCGTTACTGACTCGAGCACCACGTGCCACTAACCAGCCCGACCACCGCAGGGAGGTATCCACACCCTGTGTGGCGTTACTCCCACCAGGAAAACCATGCTTTCAAAGATAATTAAGAATGACACAGGAACCAGGATCTGTGAAGAGCAGTAGCAGCGTGCAGGGATAGCAATGGGATACAGTATGTCTGTTCAGAGAAGAGCATTACAAAAGGTTTGGCAACCAAGTCATTCAAGAGAGGATGGAAGACTTTCCTTGGAGAAAAAAAATAAATAAAATATATCAGGTGACAGGGAAACTGTAAACACAAAACCGTGTAAGTATTTCTCCCCAATTTGCTCCAAACTACACTTCTTACGTACTGCTGAATTATAGACCTGCCATGGGTCATTCTCCATAACTCAAATTTACCCACACACCCCACTTTTTTCAAACACAGTACAAGCAATCAAAATCTTGAATGCCATTTTTGAGATTGATGACAGGCTCGGAGGATAAGTCTCTGAAATTCAAGGGCTATTTCACACAAAACCAGAACATTGTTGACCACAACCGGTTAGAAAAATCATTGAAACTCAACTGACAGTTAACTGTAAATGCAAAAATCTTACTCAGAGGAGCCAAGGAGTTACTCCATGGCTTAAGGATGTTATCCTAACTGGGGAATCAACTGCAATGAAAGATCCCTCTTCACAATTTGCAAGAATGTCCTCCACGTGAGGACAGTCCAAGCTTCTCTCTGCCATCATGCCAGCAGTGCAATGACCCCTTCTCACCACTCTTTCAACATTTGAAAACACCACTGAAATTACCACGCTGAAGAATAAGATGCTGGAAGCTTCCAGCTCACGTAGGTTAAAGGCTTCCAAGGACAGGAACTTCACTCTCACTAAAATACTAGACATGGATAACTGAAAGTTGACGTTCAAGAAAGTTGCACAGAAATCACAGGGCTAAAAGCACTAGCAAATGCCTGTCATTAGGGTTCAGCTTCTTCCAGGTGTGCTGTCCTGTTCTCTTCCCCGTTCCCAGAGGCATCTTTGCTGACCCTGAACTTTTAGCACATCTAGATGGATCACTGTCCCCGTCAGCACTGCAATCTGTATTTTTCTGGAAACCCACGTTTCCTTTGAGATCTTCCATCTGTGTATCTGCCATCCTTGATTTTCTCAGAAAACCAAATGAGCTTCCCAAAAAGTTCAGAATAAAATTACTTGCACTTTACTGCTCATTACGGGAACTCTCCCAAGATCTATTGTTCTAAACCCAAGAGCAATTAGAAGTTCTTTTGAATAAGATAACACTAATAGAAACTTGTCCGAGTGCCATCAGCATATTATTGTGATGTGCTGTAGTTGAACTTGTGTATATTATCTTACCTCAAGTTTCCATGCAGTCATTTTGAGGGTAAAGGAAATGCCATTCAAAGCAAAAACATTCCATCAGTAAAAACACAAGTCCTTGACACAGCACACAGCATTCACCACATTTCACATCAAACGTGGGTTTATAAATTCCAGTTGGAAATTGTGCCCCTACATCTGCCATCTGAGGTTAGCAGAAAGCTTAAATGGAATTAAGTTGTATTCCGTTACAGAGTTGATTTATTCAATGTTTTCCCCATCAATTTCCCTCATTTCCAGTGGGCTGAAACACACACAACCAGCCTGCGCTACTCTGCTGCAAGGAAGAGCTTCGAAACAGTCTTCTCAAATGTCACCTCACTAACTTTATCCATGTCCCAGCTACTAAGGTAAGAACATGCCTGCTCTCAAGAAACACCTGTAAAGCAATAAAATCCTAACCACTAATTAGGGTTCAATTCTTTCTTCTGAGCAGTTGGTACAATCTGCGTCTCTCTCTCTCTGCATCTGTCAACTACCCTCAGAAAGGCTGTAAGAAAACTAGGTTATTGCAAATTAATTTAACTCTAGAAAATGGGGAAAGTCATGAAATTCAAGAGGCACAATAGCTCAGAGGTGTTTACATTTGCACTCCCTCTTTGGCAGCTTGTACTTCATATTGGCTCACTACGGTGATAACGGGGAAGGACCGTATCACAAGAAATGTGGAGGAATTGGAAACGTTTGGACCTGGCTTGCAATACCAGTAACCGCCACTGCTGGGAATCCAACGACTGTCAGATATTCTAAAGCAGCCCAAAAATTGCAGACTTCCAGCAGTCTGCTAGCAAATAATAGTCTCCAGGATGTCTGGATGCAAGTGGTAGGATCGGGGTTTTTTTATAATTTTTCTGAAGCAACATAGAAAAGATTCATCTGCTGGACCTGTTTCAGTGATATAAACACAACACTTCAAAAAATCCCCAGACTCTCAAAACACAGCAAAAACAATCCACAATGGAAATGACAAATCTGCTGATGCAGACTCTGCAGAAAATATGGCCAATTTTGTCTTTTTCAGTGTAAACTTCATGTGTTGCAACCACATACCGTACAAAATTCTCTACAGTTGCAATGAAGTTGCAGGCTAGTGTCTGAAAAACCTTGGTATTAGGCAACAATTCCTGCTATTAAGGTACCCAAGTTATCAAACTTGAAAACTATCCTGGCCACTCAGGAAATGCAAAAGCTGAAAGGAAAATCTCCTCTTACTCTCTGCACTGCAGAAACAAAGACCCAGTCTAAACAACTTGCCAACACAAGAATGCTGTCAGGACCACATCACAACGTGTGTGCCTCAGGAAGATACATTTCTACAGTATCATAAGTTAGAAGTCAACGTTAAAAATCACCTCTCCTTGGCCATCTCATATTGTAACATTACCTTAATCCTAAAAAGCTCAAGTACCTGCCACTGTAGGCAGCCATCTACAAGGTAGGTACAAGGGAAAGACGACTGTCTGCACTGACTAGGAGCCAGGACTAAAGCCTGCAGATATCAGAAAGGTTCCTACAGACTTGGGTGGTTTTGGATCAGACCCCAAAGCAGCTCCCAACTTCAATGGAGGTAGAACAACAGGAGAAAACCCCCAAACAAAACAATCTTGACTTCAAGCCACTCGTTTTTAAACTTGCGTAGCTGAGATATTATGCCTCTTCAAGCAAAAATCAAAGTATTTGAGAACACAGCACTAAGCTTTTATTCACTGGTCACCTTCCTTCTTGTTCAGCTGTTCACCATCAGAAAATACCTGCTGTTGTACTTAGTCTTTTTCTGCAAATCTTACAGCTTTTAGAGCACTGAGGATGAATAAAGCCTGGCAGGAAGAGTAGGCAGACAACGATAAATCACAATTTTGTGCTGAGAACGCAGCTGGTGGTAAAACATCAGAGGAAAGGAAGATTAGTGAAGAACAAGAATCAAAAACTTCTTCCCTTCTTGATACTACATAGTTATACAGTAGTACTGGATATATAAATACACAGTTGTTCTCCCCAATTCTCATTCGGAAAGGTAGATCTGTACAGCCACATGTATTTCTAACCAATTCCTATGCAGAACAGCAGCTTTATTGCACCACAAGTTTAGCCTTTGTGCAATAATGTCAAGGCACGTAAAAGATGTATGAAATCCCTTTGCCAAGTAAACGTAAAGATGACATCTGAAAGCGAGCCCCAGGAGCTCGTTAATAAAGATACGCTAATACTGCCCAAAGTAACTTAAGGGTGACAAAGCCCAGGCCGGGTGAAGCCACCACCCCTGCAAGAGTTCACAAGTGATTTCAACAATCAAATAGCGCAACATCTCTTCAGGAAACGCAGATATCGCAAGTGACACAAAGAAAACGTTACTTCACATCATGCTGCTGCCGGGGAGGCACCAAAACTCTCCACCAACCTCAGAGAAAAAGACTTTTGCTGCTTTCTTGAAAAGGAGAAGGGCTCAGAGAGGTGCCCATGATACAACACTGGCTGCTCGATTCAGCCCTGCAACCAGCACTTCTCCCCCTGGTTTCCCACTCTCTGCTAGATTCATGCCTTGCCCCTCGTTAAAGCAATTTAATCTCCCAAAGTTAAGAGTTTCCTGAGGGAAAGTGGGGGAATGACACTGTCTGCATCATAGCTCGATGTTTATGTACAGCGCTATTTTAGTACAATGAATTAAGAGCAGTCAGGAACACAGCGAACCGGTGACAAGCTGGCATGGATTTGTGGAAAGTTACACAAATTGAGTTACACAAGTTTGCCTGGCCTTAACTATCCCTATTTTATAAATAGATAAAGCGAGAGGGGTTAGGCAATTTGCCCAGTATCAATTAGCAAGTCCTGAACGACTTCTTGAAAACTCAATTTACTTCAACTGCTTGGCACCACGGCCTGCCCAGGACATGGCAGGCACACGGAGCGCTTCTTGGAGTACGGGTTAGTCACCCTGACAGGTTTTAAAGCTGTGTTATTGTCCTTACAACAGAAAAACCCCACAGGTGGATGGACGTGCACCTTTCAGAAAGCCTTCAGTAGACCCTCCTTCATGTTCAATCATGGAGGCATGGGTGACAGCATTATTTAATACCCCAGTGGATAAAATCAAGGAAAAAAAGATTCAGTCTGCACCCAGTCTCAGCAGGATGCTAATATCACGCTACGGCTGGAGCATGGCTCATACCCAGCAAGTCTTGTGCACCCTGGGAGAGCTTCCCTCAAACGCTGATCCTTTCCCAGTCTATCAAGACTCTCACTTCCTTTGACAATAATTTATAGGGCCTGCACAGTTAAATAAACTGAAGAATATCAAGCCTTGCTTACTGCGAGAAGCCATCTCACTGTTTATGCAGAAACACTGGTGCCGATGCAGTTTATGTTGACAAAGAGTGTTTTTACGTGTGCAGCTTTTAGACTCCAGGGAGCCAACAAATGCCAGGGCAAAGAGGTTTCACGCTCTGATTAAAAAAAAAAAAAATTGCCATGGAGAGGCTGGAACACAAAAGAATGGGTTATCTCAATTTACACTGCAACC